TTGTGTTTATTTTGGTAGTGAAATTGCGAACGGGTACTGACTTTAACTCTGAACTAAAGCCGTTGACTCGTTTAGCTAGGACGGTGAAGATGAGCACGTGAATTTAGTTGTACTTTGGTGTAAATATTTTAACAAAATTCTAAGTTGCTACTTATTTTACACCCCACCGTTGGTTAATGCGAACAATGTTCTTGGCGATAAATGAACCCCATCACAATGTTGTGCAGCCTTAAAAAGGTTAGTAATTCACTGACCAGCAATCTTTGAACATTAATTGGCGAATCAAGGTGCTGCATTATAATGAACCACACATGTTGACTGCATTCTCGTACCTTCAACCCTCTTCTCAGTATTCCTGATGGTTGAAAAGTTGCGTCGATCACCTACACTGAGTGAATCATGATGAAAAACGACTATCGACTCTCTTTACGGTCTCATTTACCCCGAGACCCTTCTTTCACCTCTCCCAGTGCTTATGAGGGCAACCCTGAAAATGCAATCATGCTCGCACATCTCCCCTGCCGTGTAAATCATTCGTCTCGCCATTCAGGCTATTGTACATTCACTAGTTCACTCAAACTCCATTGGTCAACAGTCCTCATTTGTCATGCCACTCCTGGGCACGTTTGTGGATAATGAATATTCACAAACTCGAATGCACGTGCATGAAAAAGTAATGGGATTGAAGCATCAAATTAACATCATTGTTAGCCTCACATCTGGTCTTCTTAATCTTCTCGACCATCTGCGTTGCGTAATTGGGCCAAAATAACTCGGCAACCTTGAAGCGATTACCTAGCGCAGCTGAGTTCACTCAGCACTCTCTTGTTGAATTCATCAGTGACGTATTGTTTCCGAGTAGGTCCATATGATTAAATTCTAGGATGCTTATTTTGGTTTTGGACTGCATGACCGACGATTTTTTTAGAGAAGCCCTGTAGTCGACATTAAAACGTCGACGTCTACCTCATGTGTACAAAGACTAGCCTTCGCGATAGTCAGAGCAGTTATGATACGGACTTTTTAATGTATAAAACCTTTTAAATGCGTCAATCTTTCTGTAATTGAAACAAGAAAAATTACGGAACGAGAAATTAGTCTAAAGGGACTGGATTCAGCGACAGAAAACCTATCAACTTATGTGGCCATCTTTTATATTCATTAGTTCGGAGAGCACCATCTCACAGCATTCTATGGAAAAGTGACGAAGTATTGAGTTGATTACTAACTTTAAAGTTCCACTGATAATTTTACCCTAATGTTTATTGGTTGTATTTTTCATTTAGAACTGTTTTTTATGCTGTAAGACATTAAATCTAGACTAAACTGTCAGAATACAAAAATTAATAAAATGTAGATTGCGACGTAAATGGATCTTCTTAAAAATCTAACTTTATATGTGGTTAGATTAGACGAATAACCATTATGCTCTGGATATTGGTGAATATTTTGGTACTCAAACCTCGTGATGTATCTTTAGTATCAAACTTCATTCCTGTCGGTTTCTATTAACTTTTTCAATTGTCGTTACTTCATATTAGCTTTATCAAATTAGCAAAATAAGTCACATTAGTTCTCACCGCATTTGTAAGGAGAATAAACCAATGAGGCTTATCTTCTAAGAGTCAAAATAATGACAGGTTAGGCCCCCTAAATGGCCAGTTGATGTAAAATTTTCGCAATCAAAAAAATGACAAATTAGCATGTCAGTTCAAAAGCTTTATTCATGCTGATAAATCAAAAAACGGATCTGAGTGCTTAAGGTGGAGTGTAAAGTTTACTACAGCTGACGACGTTTGCCAAAACAAAAACGAATGCTTAACAATAAGAAATTGTAAGAACGTTTCATTTTTTTCGCGTAGAACTTATACGCCAATTTAAACTGATTTTTTACAAGCATTAGTTTCGAATAATGTTACCTTGCAGAGAAGACATCTGCAAGGATCAATGCGCATCTTAGAATATCTAAAAACCAAAATGTCATTTCTTGAGAAGTGATCATCCAAGGAAGAAGAGGAGGGTAATTGAAGTCGGCTAAGTAACGTAGGCAAGAGAAAATCGTCTCAGGGGTAAAATAGGTGAGAATACGTCGTCGTCAAAAACGAACCATTTTTAAGCTGTCATTGCTTGTAGGGGCCTTAGGAGAATGTCGTTCCATGTACGTGAGTTAACGCTTTTTTAAACTGGAGATTAAGCTAGCGGTGAAGGGGTGGTCAATATAATTATAGTGAACATAGAGTATTTATGTGTGTAAAAATAGTACATTATTCATCTTCATGAGTTTAAGGTAGACATAAAGAGTAAACTGAAATTCTTGATACCTAGTGAAAGATAAATTCGAAACCACTGATAATTCTTGTCCTCCATGGGATTCCACAATGGAGGTAGAACATTGGTGTTTCCTACAAGCCAAAGATTATGGTATCGAGGAATGCGCCGCGTATTTCCAACTGGGTTAACTATCCAATACCCAGAGCATAGTTATTTCCCAATATATCAAAGCATATAATGGTGGTAAAAGGGTAGATGAAATTCGGTTTGATGGTTTAGTTCATATCATGACCTAAAAACGAATTTTTTCATAGACTTGTACTAACGCAGCCTCATTACTGCAGAGGAAAAAGACCTTAGGTAGGAAGATTCACACCATTTTGGTTTAATGGCCAAGCTGTACACTCGCTAGGCCCACATGTGCAGTCGTAGATGTCAGATGATAGAAAGTGCATGGGATAAGTAAGAATTCGACTTAAATCTAAAAAAATATAGGTGAAAAAAACGAACTCCTTAATTAAACAATGCACCAAATTGTCAAATAAAAATGCATGACATGCCACTGAGAACAGTATAGGAAATGTTGATAGTGAGAATCTGACTGGTGTTGGGATAATGATGGAGTTGTCTTCGGCCAATAAAATTATCCTGTGAATGTTTAACTGTAAAATAAACTAATTTGCGTTCTTTGAATAGTTACGAAGTAACAAATAAATCTTCAGCGACAGATAAATTAAAAATCACATTGTTTATTTAATATTTAGCGGACAAATGTGTCTTGAAGCAGAATTTATTTTGTTAGTCTATTAACAGAACATCAGCAGCTCAAGTCTGAGGGCTTAACGTGATAAATTGTATCAACTGTCTACTAGTTGCACTCCAAATTTTTCAACAAAAGCACTTAACGAAAAAAGAACACAAACTCAGACCCTTAAACATAGATTCCATTTAGATATTTCCCAGATTTAAACATTAGGCGTTGCGGTAAAATAAAACAATGTAATTGTAACCCACGACGTTCAATCCGCGCACGTTGGTTTGGCCTGTTCTTTGTCCTATTCCTTCATGCATTCTCGCCTCTCTAAAGGCACGCCCATGAGTCTGAGGGCAAAGCCGACCCTCCTCACGGCCATCCACTTTCTCCTCCAGCATTAAATCGCCCTACACCCTGGCCCTCTGAATTTGCATGCAATAGTCCTGAATACATTTGATTCTTTCTGTTATTCTTTTATCGAATGCTTGGTAACTAACCCTGATGATGTGGCTCTCTAAGAGGAACGGGCTAATAGTTATCTACCTATTTAGGTCCCCGCTCGCTAGGCGCTTTACATAATCAAATTCTCGAAATTGGAATGTAAGTCATTTAGTCAATTTTGGTCTTTACCGACCTTTTACCATTAACGGGTTTAGGCTGTTTGTGCTAGAATTTTTTCAGCATATGGGGTTTATGTTTGTGAGGAAGTTTTTAAATCATCAATTTTGAAATCGCCTTATCGTATCTTAAGGTAAACCTTAGTAACACAGCAAAACTGTAGTCTAACACTTGTCTGCCTTAACTTAAATAGAAATTTCTCATAAATCGATTAAAAACGTTTATCAATTAGAAAAACATTCCTTAATAACTTGACAGAGACTCTCCTTTACAAAAATCGCTTCGTCATCGCTCTTTCTATGTCCTGGGTTACGTCATATAAATTGCTGCAGTTTTTTTACATAACTTTACTTCGTTTTGATAAACGGCTTAATAATTAAAAGTTGAGTTGTACCGAATATGTTACTGCCTATAGCATTTATGTTGTGCCAACCCTTACTCTTTAGCCTACATCATGTTTCACTTAACCCGTAAAAGCACGGTGAGGTGTCGATTAGGTTAAGAAGGCAGTTCTTGCAACTCTTCCTCTGACTTTTTATGAAGTTAATGTTGTTTGTAAGTGCAAATGTATTTGACGTTTTGTTCCCTACTTTGAGGAGTTAAATTTGCCACACAGTTAATAACTTCGAACAGTTGTAGAATGTGTCATTCGGAGTACCAGTTCTTATCATACCGCGGTGGCATTGCTAATGATTATAGACGAATAGTACCACTAATTTTCTCTCAGTTTATAATGAAATATGGTTGGGCACAAATAACTCACTTAATGTGTCTGTCAGCCCTGTTTGTACTCCACTGTCGTTTCAATGTCCTGCTCTACTTTTCTAAATTTTAATTTACTATTTCATGGCTACCTCGTGATCTTGTTAAACATTTACACGAAGTCATATGATGAACAAACTAATAGTTATTTGAAGAATAAAATTTGCGTGCATCGTTGATTTACTCTGGGTCTTGATGGTCTGTCATGGATATTGTTCGACGCTGTTTTTTCCTCTTTTTTTCAATACTTGTCTCTTTAAGTCAGCTCTGTGACGGCTTATTTAGGTTATTTTGACCTTATAATTACAAATCACTAAATAAGGGTATTTGTATGATCAGCTACTTCGTAAAAAGTTGTATGGGTGGTTTTGATGCCAGAGAAAATATGTGCATGATTACGCACTTTCTGGAGGTATGCTTTTTGTTTTGATCATCTGCAAGTAACCACGAGCCGGATTGATGCACATAGAAAGCCAAAATCTGGTTTATAGTAATATTCGTCTGGTTAACATTTGGGTATATCGTCACGAATTGCCTAATCTGTTTCGTGTTTCACACACCACTCGCCTTTATTTTAGCCTACAACCTTCTCTTAATGAGTCCCTCATTTCGGATAGTAATTATTTATGGGAGCCAAACTGGCACAGCCCGTGGTCTTGCTGAACGCTTGGCTCTACAATGTTGCAAGTTACTTCGTCTTCGCAATTACCCAGCTGACTCTCCAACTTCTCTTCTTCACCTCTGCTCAGCGAATGACTACTCTCCCTTGCAGCAATTGGCAAACGAACCTGGACCCGTTATATTTGTCTGTTCTACAACGGGCTGCGGGGATCCACCAGACAACATGGCTATTTTCTGGCGCAAGCTCATGAATGTTAAATTGCCTGAGGGACGAACTTTTCCTACTACTTTGCGGTTCGCAGTTCTAGGCGTCGGAGATTCTTCGTATAAGCATTATAACTTTGTTGCAAAAAAGCTTTATCGACGAATGGTCCACCTTGGTGCCTCTCCACTTCCTGTGTCCTTGGCTTTGGCCGATGCGGAGCAGGACATAGGATTGGGTCTGGCCGACGAATCTGCTCCTGAAGGTCTTGTGGCCTGTCTTCAACGTTTTATGCCGTCCTTATGGAACACACTTATTAATCATTACTCATCAAGTGTACAGGCCATTGGTTCTCTTGCATTTCCAATTACGTGGGAGGCCCTAGAGTCCCCCGATTTTATATCCTCTTTTCAACCTAGGTTCCAGGTTCGTCGGGTACGAAAAAGGGAGGGCGGGGAACTGAATCTAGTCAATGGAATTCATTTCCGCAATGAGGATGTGCTTGCAGACGTGATAGATTCAACAGTCGCTAGGGACGATGCTATGTTTAAGACACCCCCAATGCCATTAAATGCTTGTTGGTTTTTGGTCAAGTCTAACGAACGACTGACACCGGAAAAATATTTTCAAGATACACGGTTAATTCGGTTGGAGTCGGAGGTGAGTAGTCTATGACTATTGTGTGGCTTTAATTTATTCATATGCATTTTCGGTTCCTATTTTTTTGGTGGAAAAGTTTTTCTGAAGTATTATGGCAGTTACTCAAAGCGTCCCATTTTATATTTCTTAAAGTCTTTAATAATAACAAGGTAACTCCATGTTTGCCAACGACGGAATTCCAATTTTCCGATTCTCCTGCCCTCTATTATGCTTTGCACGATTTCGAATTTGGGATTTATCTATCATTGCACTTTTGTAACTCAAAATTGTCTTAGAATGGAGCCATCTAATTGAATTTGATTTTTACGATAGCCTTTTGAGTAAGGATAAATTCCCGATTACTTTCAATATATGTCTATGTGCATCAAGTCTTTTACGCGGAACATGCTGTATGTAGGATTGTATAGGGACAAACACGTGTTATTTTCGTTATAGTTAAAATTTTGCGTTTGTAAAAGCATCAAAGCAACAAAGTCAATGGTCCTTGTTATTTTGGTTCGTTCTTTCGGTGATTCCATTATAGAATAAGGACGCGTCGCTGGACTTTCTCCCGGGTTGTGTCCTGAATGTTCAACCCCGAAATCTCCCCGAAGATGTGCTTGCTTTTTTCAAGATCACCGGCCTTGACCCAAATATTCGAATCTCTGTGCGAACGCTAACCAAGGAGTTGCACCCTGGTCAGCACATTGTCTCTTTTAGCCTACCTGGCCAGCTCGGACGCGTCTGCTCGTCGGATGGCATTTCCCTTGCCTGGCTCGCCACGCACTACTTTGACCTCAACTCCATTCCCACACGCACCTTCTTTTCTGACTTCGCAGCTGCGCACAAATGGCGGCCAACCGTCAGCAAGATCGATGAACGTGTCGCAATGGAATATGACAGACTGAAGGAACTTGGACAGGCATCCACTCCTGATGCTGTGGATGATTTGTACGACTACATTAATCGCCCTCGCAGAAGTTTGATTGAGGTTCTTGCGGACTTCCCCTGCACAACTTCTTTCATCCCCGCTGAGCAATGGATCAACCTCCTACCTGGTCCCATGTTGTCACGTGCCTACTCAATTGCTTCTGCCTCGCCGTTAGTAGAATTACTCGTTGCGGTGGTAACCTTTAGAACCCGAATGTTAAGCCCCAGAAGGGGACTGGCATCAACGTATTTGGGACGTTGTAAGGTTGGCGCGCGAGTGTCAGCATGGATATCACGCCCTTCCTACGGTTTCGACTTCAGCTATAATCTTTCCCCTGTTCCACGACCTCCTCCATGTATTCTTGTTGGACCAGGCACTGGTGTTGCGCCTTTTCGTGCCTTCATACAGCATCAGCACCGATCAACACCTATGGCATTCAATGTACTTTTTTTTGGTTGTCGTTTCTCCCACAGGGACTTTTATTTCGAATCAGAATGGCGGACTTTGGAGGCAGAGGCATCTCTTAAACTGATAACTGCTTTTTCACGCGAAGGTAACCGAGTGCTGAACTCTAAAAACCGAACCTATGTGCAGCACCGGATACGTGAGAATGCAGAGTTGGTATGGTCAGTGTTAGGGGAGGCACAAGGAAGTGTATTTGTCGCTGGCAATGCAAAGAACATGCCTGCTGCGGTGAGAGAGGCAATCGTCGATTCAGTAGAAAGGGGCGGTGGGCTATCTCATTACGAAGCTGAGTCATTTGTCAGTAATCTCGAGAGCTCAGGGAGATACCAAGCCGAGGTCTGGATGTGATGTTGAATTAATGTTGTGTAAATAGAAAAGTACCTACTGCCTCCTTTGTTTTATTTACTCACAGTGTGTTTGTGGCTGCTTGCGTATGATTATTTAACTAACAGATTATTGCATTTACCCGACTTAACGCCAAGCATAACAAATTACTTTTTCAAGATTTAAGATCCCCATGAAGGTTGCATACAGTCGTTAAGTAATGTATGTGGTGGCCTCTTCGAAGTCGATTTATTTAGTACACTCTTATTACTCTGGCCAGGTTTTGTCCTCCACTTTTATTTCAATGGAGAGCCTTTTTGGTGGCTGTGTGAGTCGGTATCGGTAATATGTATTTTTTTGAATTCAATTCTCTCCTGAAGTTGTCAGACATCATGGAGAACTCTTGCTTGGACTTGAGGCCACCCTGTTGGCTTTTTGCTTCCCCAAGTTGTGTGCTCTTCCTGGGACTCCAGCTTTGTTGCCTCGCTGTTTCCGTTTTTTCTTTATTGTTGTTTTCACGATACCTGAAGTCATATACCATTAGGGTTTTATAAGCGAATTTTCCACCCTCGCATTTTATCTTCCTATGGCCTTTATTCGCGTTCATTATTTCGAATTTCATTTGCGTCTAACGCAATCGAGCATTTTGGCTGGTGCTCGTAGCTACAGGGATAGATGCATTGCAACGAATTTCCTTTCGGTAGTGTTAATTTAATCATCGTGTCTCTGTGTAGTAACCAATTTTGACCACTGTAAGTCCCATGTGAAACTTAAATTAACGTCTTAGTTTAGTAAATTTTTTCACGACCAGCTACTCAAGATATTTCGTCGAACCCATGCATTTGTTGCTTGAAACTTTCCTGCCGTCTTTTAGCTGCTTCGAAAATTATCTAGAAGCTATTCAATCTCCATAACCTATTTTGTATTACTTGTTCATATATACTTGCTTATTATATTTTAGTTGGATTATAATGTCCACAGTGATAATCGGTGCTCTCTATGGTCTACGGGAGTCTTTTTATGCTCCCAAGGGTCTTTGGCTGCTACACTTCAAAACAAGCGGTCTTTCGTCTTCGTCCCACTTTGTTTGTCGTCGAAGCTCCGCTACTGACCCCTTACTGCAGCCGCTCCACGGTCAGGCTCTCCGTAGACTCAGACTTTCGGCAGCGATGGGAGAGAAGAGGTTCTCTACTGGTGGTGCCAAGTCACAATCCACCGAAAGCCTCAATCGCCTGTCCTCGGAGCGTCCCCTTTATTCTGCCGATAACATATTGGGTCTGCTTGGTCGAATATGGGTCATCAACGTGCTTCTTCTTTTTGCAAGTGGCTATGTCACCTTCCTTGCGTTAATTCGTCGATGCAAATTAAACGTGTGTGTGTCGTAGTCTAGTTATATTTCCCGTGAACGTAGTCGAACAATTCTTCACCATTGTGATGCCAAACGGATCTGTGATATCGAGTTAATTTTATCGATGGTATCACAGTAAGTAGGCCTTCCTGGTGAATCACAAAATATAGACGTAATTCTACTGTTACAGTACTGTCCTAAAACATTGTATTTATGTTTTAAAAGTTGGTGCATATCACTCATTGTGTACTTTATTAATTTCTTCTAAACTGTAGTACGTATAAAACTTGAAACCTCGTCTTTTTGCTGAGAACCAAACAACGGTTCTATCATATTTTTAAACATTGGGAAATTCTTCAATTAAGGACGTTTTATTATCCGCTTATAAGTACAGAAATAAACGAAATACTTGTTAAATGTTTTTTGGTACGACTGGTTGTCACCTCATATGTAAGGCTCTGTGAATGATTTATGGTCTGCCTCGTTTTCCACATGTTCTCAATGCCACTTCTCTCCGCACGCACAACCATTGCAAAGCGAACCAATGCTACCGCTTCTTCACAGTTTGTCATTTATTTTACCCATGTCATTTGTTTTTTTCTTTTGTTTGTACTAGTGCGAAATGTTGGGCCTTTGTTTGCTTTCACTCAGCCAGTTGTTTCCAGCCTGTGTCACTGATTGTTTGTAATCTCCTTTTGGACAACATGGCTCCGTTTTTTTCAATAATTGCTTCAAGTTTATCAAAATCGAATACTAGCTGATTCTTCTTTTCAGGTTATGTGGATGGTTTTCGGCGTGTTTTCATCGATCTCAGAACGCCTTTTTGGTAAGTACACAATAGGCGTTTCTGTTCAGCGATTGAAAAGTCAAAATACGCTTTGTAATGTTTGATGTCAGTGAACGTACTTATGTGCCATATTTGGCGACGACCGTAAGCCATTTTGCCTGCTTTGTGTGCTGCTATTTCCTTCCCATATTTCTTATCTGCTCTAACAATTATTCTGCGGCATTTCCTTGCAGCGAATTCAGTAAACATTTCAGTCTTATTGTCTATCATTTGGCCTTAGTATTAACCTTAAAGCCTTATTCTTTCCAACCGACACGGACGTAACTCTGATCCATATATCCTTATCCAGGGCTTGACGATGTGACCTCGTATGGTATAACTATGTTTCATAAAATGACTGTATACTGCTATTTTCACCTATATTTGTACATTTTTCTTATCTTTTAAGTGGCTTCTGGTGAGTGCAACCATTTGCGAGGGGGTACAACGGCAAAGTAGGTCGTCGATTTGTTTTAGGTAGTGAGACATGGTGTGTCAGGTCCATTAAGACAAGCTGCTTTAGGGCAACGTAAAGTAGCTGCGGCAATAAATTTTCATTAAACCTGACGTCTCCGCCTGACTTCCATTTTAACCATTTTGAAAATATGCTGTCAGCACGTCTAGCGTTGCTTACTGTGACCGGGACCCAGAAGGCGATTCCACAATGTATGTACTTGTCCTGACCCTTTCTTCTGCATTCAATTTAGGCCAATGGCTGTGGAACTTCTTTATCGTCCGATGTATTTGTGGTCTCGTTACTCTGCTTTTGCAGAATTTCATTTTCCTCGTGATGGAACTTATCAACGCTATCTACTTAAAGGTTCGTGTCGTTCGCGATTATATTGCGTTAGCAAACGTTTTTTTTTATTGAAGCGTAGCAACGGACCAATGCTTCTTTGTAATACTTGTGATTTCTTAAATTTCTGGGTTACTTTCATCAAGTTAATTCTCTTAATAAATATATGTAGTGGTCATGGTATTTGTATTTCACGTCCCAACTCTCGGTGTTGCGCTTCTTGCCCCGGCGAGATGAAAGTTTAGCTACCACGAGATAATTGCTATTATCAGCGACACACTTTAGAGTGGTATAACACCCAAGGTTGAAGTCTACCTTCTCATGTGGCCCTGCTGACCCAATGAATCGGTAGTTTCTAGAGTCATGAGTCGTAGTCAGCGGTACTTCCTAAGGTACGCCACCCGCTTTTGCATTGTTGGAATTCCAAACAGTTATCGTTTGTTCGAACACTTTAACACGCATTTAAAATTATTGTTAAACCCAAGCTATGGTTTGTGCGGAGTTGGCACTGGAGTTGGCAAGTGTTGCCTCTCGCACCCACGCACGTCCAGGTCTGTCCACTCCTCTCCCCGCACCCGACTCTCACACTCAGCGCTATCCATCATCGCTAACTTTTTTGGAGGGCTAACGCGCCGGCACAAATCGCGCCTCTCTTCTTTACCCACGCGTCGACATGTTTTCGTGACTTAACTAGTAAGCACTGAATCAACCCTAAACTTGAAGTCTTTGATTTAGATCCGCAGTCGTATTAGTGGACAGTGTGTCATTGACATATGCGCCTATTTCTGCGCTTCTAAAACTACAAAAAAGGATTCCATTTTGTACGGTTGCCTCGAAGTGCATTCCATTGTGGTAGTTACTTATTTTGGTGAACAGTCGATTCCACTGAGTGCTTGTACAAACGCCACAACCTCCTTCTCGTCTTAATTTTGTTTTTATTACTCTGTGGTTTTCAATTTCCTTTATTGCCGCCTTGAACCTTTTGGTAACAGCTCGTATATTCGTTATTCGTATGATCTTTGTAAGGGTTTCTTGTAAAAAAACACCCATTGCAGACTGAACCTTTTGCCATAATTGTGCTAATCTGTTTACCTACGACTTATTAATTAGCAGGTTATTTTTTGCTATCTCACCTACTACATTTGCTTGTATCAATGAGTGAGGTGGGTGCGCATGCTTGGTGAACATTTGAAAATTTCCTCGTATTCTCGCCTTTTTCCTACCGCTTTTCTTGTCTCGGACAGAAAATATGTGAAAAGATAACCTCAATGCGTCAACTGCGTTCTTCGTCAGCCTGTAAAAGTGGTGATGTAGGAAACAAACACCCGCGAGATACATCTCTCTCTCGCACTCTCAACTGCTCATCCCCATCCTCTGTGTCCTGCTTCAATTCTTCGCAACACTCCTACGGTGTTGGAAAACAGCTGATAGACTGGGTCTACTCCATTGTGTTTTTCATCGTCTATCGTTTGCAGGTGGGCGTGCTCCCTTTGAAGTGGCAGATTTCGATAAACTCTACATTCAGACTCACTAAAAACGGTCTCTTATGGCCATTTTGAGGTTCCGGTTAAGTTTTTGATGTATGCCATAAGAAAAGTACCAATAAAACTGAGTTTTCGGAATCCAATTCTATTATAATTTTTCGATTACTTGAAAGATGACTATTTTAGTAAAATTTTACCAACCAAGTTTTAGATTTTCTCTTAAATATTAGGTGAATAACTTAATTTCTACTGATTTTTTCTTCGATCTTTAATTATATTTAAAGTAGAAATATTGTTGCGGCCTTTTGGGGTCTTTAGAGGATAGTAAGCAAGGTTTCAGAATACTGAAAAACAAATCTACGTGAGTTGCGTAACCTCTCAGAATAGTCAAGTTTACGGTGGCAGCAGACAAACAGCACATTCGACACTACATTTTTTTACAAATTCCAACAAGGGAAATATCCTTCTAAAGCATGAGAATCAATTTGTAGTGTTCTTGGTGCCGACGTTGTGTCTCATGAAACTTGTAATTATTGGTGGAAAGGTTTTAGAAGTAGTGATTTCGACACACTGAATGTGGCCTCAATGCAAACTTAACAAGTGCTTGCAGATCAGTTAGAAGTCATCCACAAAACTGTTTCCAAGTATTTGCACCAAATAGGAAAAGTACAGAAAATTGGAATTTGGGTCCCACATGTGTTGACCGAACACATCCTAGGTCAACGTATGAACACATGCCTTTTACTGCTCGCCAGTGTATCGACGCCAAAGCAGGACATCCACTTGAAGAAGGTAGTCCTGTGTATCTGGCGGGACATAGAAGGTGTACATTAGTACGAACTCCTGGAAACTAATCAGACAATAATTGCAGAACGCTAAAGTTAACATTTGAACAGACTGAGCGAAGAAATTGATTAGAAAAGGCCATTTGCCGGACAAGGAAGCAGGCAAGTCATACTGCTGCGTGACAGAGCTCGATCTCACGTTGTTTGCGCTACTCTGTAGACCCTGTTGAATTTGGAATTGGGCTTGGCCTCATCCGACTACCATTTGTTAATACAGCACACCTTGTGAATAAACTCCTCACAACTCTGGAAGATGTGCGTAAATTCGTTGATGACTTCTTCCAAACCTGCAAGTTTCTTTTACGACAGCATTCTTACGTTATCTAAGAGATGCGCAAAGTCAGAGAAAACGATGACAACATTGTTAAGAGCATGTTCTTTGTTCTCTATTTTTTATGGTAAATTTGGTAAAAAAAAATGGTGAAAATTGAGTCATCCACCCAATACATTAGCCTACACAATGTAGGGTCTCATTCACCGATGTTTATTGGTGTTTTTAAATAGACAACCACTGTCTACGCTTTGTTTATGGAACCACAATTGATTGAACTGAAGTAATGTATTTCAGTGAGGACTTTTGTGTGGAACTTCGTCCTGCTTTCTTACCCTGCTTCAACTTGTGTTTAGTGGAAACTCTGCGCATCCTTTGTGCCCTTCTTCTTGGTCAACTTTCTCATCAACTCAGTCAGTTTGGCCTTTATGTATGCATCCTACGCATTTGAATATCACGCTCGGCAGACCTCGGGTGAGTTCTGCTAGACACAATTACTCCTACCAGTACATGTTTTCAGGTTGTAGTTTTGTGTAATGTCGATACCTTTGTTAGGCGAAGTCTGTCGATCTGAACATCTACATGATGTTAGAAACCTCATCCATGGCTTTTTCGATGGCCTATTTTGTTAGTGGTTCCAAAATATATTGCAGCGTCGAACCTCCTCAAACAGACGAACAGAATCCAACTATACGTGTCTGTAATTCATTGGAGCTGCAGCTAATCTCGCTAGCTCTTTTTTGCATGCTAATTGGATTTTTTTATTGAATACAAATCTATTACTGACTTTTTGGCTGCAATAGGTAAATAAGAGATGAAATGGTTTTTACCAGAATTCGCTTCTGTACGGTTGACAAACGCTGCCTATTTACTGTTCTTGCACAACGCAAAATTATACCTGTGGCGACTCATGTCACTGCGTATATGCTTTGTCTGAACAGACCGCAAGAACGTCTTACAGTTTCACTTTAGGCGTAAACAGTGTCAATTTTTTTTTCTTAAAAAATCACCTCAAAACAGTTTTGTGCTCGACCTCATCGTGTGTTTCCCTTTTTTTCAAATTAATTGCTAAAGTATCGGCCATAACTGCGGATTTCTGTCGTCTGTGGTGAAAATAGTGTTTGCCTCACACGTTTTGATCGTCTCTCCGATCCTGAAAGAAAAATATCAAGCTGACAAACCGAATTTATGTATTTCTAAAGCTTGGGCAATAAAACGAAAATAGTGAAATTATTCGCAAGCCTATGCCGCGTACCCTATTTTACTGTCGATTAAAAAATAATAAAAATTGAATTAGTGTTAGAAAGTTGTGGTAGGCAGCCATCTTTCCTAACCATTGACAATATCTTTTTTCTCAAAAAATACGATGTAAAGCAGGCATCCCACGAGAAGCGAGCCATCTTTACCTAAACGAAGCTTTCAAAAGACTGAGATCTAGAGAAACTCAAATCCCTGCCTTTTACGCCTTTAAGCTTATTTGAAGAGAACGATTAAATGTTCCATACGTGTTCCTGTCTACCTAAAGGTACTTTATTGTGTAGTAACCTTGTGGAAATAAAACCCACACTACAAGGCCTTTTCTTTTTAGATGTGACTTTTGAGGTGATTCTCTCACACATAGTCTCCTACTGGCCTGTCTTTATCGGCTATGGTTCAACTCTTGGCATTCTAGTCTCGCTACTACCTGGTCCGTTTGGTTGGAGTGACCTTCTAATTGCGTTTTGGTACCCAGTCATGGTGGTGGGTGCCTTTCAGGTCTCCTGGTCTCGTGCTCTTGACCCCACCCGCCACCGAGTGTCACCTCGTCTGCGCTCTCTTGCCGTGTTGTCGATGAGACCCGCACTCTTTGTTACCAACGCCCTCATATCCCTCTTTGCTTCCCTCCTAGGGTATTCCTGTACAGCTGCCCATCGAAGCTGTCACCATCGTCATCACAGATAAATTCATTGTTTTGAAACTACTTCGCATGTTGAAAATAAACTGTCACCATTTCTGGTGTAGCTTTTACGCTGATTTTGCCTCGAATGATCTCTTGCAAACAATTTTATTGTACTTGTGAACTACAGTCTTCATCAGGCCTTCTGCTTCACCCAAGCCGTTATCTTCAACATAGAAATTAACATCTTTGCAACCACGTGGCCTGCAATCCCGCTATACCATGTATCAGGTAATCAGACTCCTTACCACAACATACATATCGCAGAATTTCATTGTATTTAGCGAATTGGCCCTTGTTGCCCATGTAGGATCTATTTCCCCATTTTTAACAGTAATTTACCCCAGAAAATGCATATGCAATAATCTTTTCTAATTATAATGTTCGATGAATACATTTCCTTGTAAAATTTGGTTGTATTTGCAATATGCTTTTACGCTACCTTGTGTTTACTTTGATGGTCCAATAGAAATTCCAGTATTTCTGGTCATCAAAGTTGCGAAAAATTGCATATTTACGATGTTTTGCGGTGATTCGTATTAATTTTTAAGAGAAAATTCAAAATTTTAACTACCACGAAAACTCGCATTTTTGATGCTACCTTGACTCGGTTTTCGTTTTTAATTAGTTTCTAACGGCCCATCAAAATATTGTTTAATAAAATGTATTATAAAACATTTATTGACTCTTGAAGGTTGAAGACAAAAGTGTTAGCTGCCTTAGGTATTCATGCACAGTAACTATTAAAACAATTCATACTGATGTCAGTTGAGTGCATAGAATACAAAGCCACACTTTAAAAAATTAATTTGCTGAACTTTTGCTAGTGTTGATATTTTGTTCACCGATATCGTTGGCTTCAGTTGTCTGCTTAGCTTGCTTTCCTTGTAAGCCTAGCACTCCGTTGTAAACGTGTCTGTTGACTGCTGGTTCTCTTCCCTCCAAACTTAGCGTGACAATTTTAATTCAAAAGTACCGCGTGTTCCGCCGAAGTCATAATGATTCACGTTGTCCTATTTTACGTTTCCTCGCGAAAATGTGTTTTCTCTAATACTGACATGCTGAAACGCCCGTTAGTTGAAGTAGGCTCCGACTAACTTCAGAAACTACCAACCTCAGATTGTATTCTTTCCAGTGTCACGTGTTTCAGAGGCGCTTATCGTGTCTTAAAATCGCTCGCCACGGGACTTCGATTTCTGTGCATTTCGGCGCAACGAGACCTGCACCGGTTAACCCTTGTAGCGTGCTAAAGGCGTAATGTGCTAATGCACAACTAGCTCCCCGTATGCAATTCTTATAAACCTTCCGAATCCATCATTAACAAGGCCAAAGTTTTGTAAATGGGCCTCGCTTTCCAGAAATGCACGAACATTAAGGTTGAACGAATTTCTGCTGGGCACAAATAGCATTTGGAATGGCACTGTAAAAGTTCGATTGTGTGACTTGATAAAATAGGAGTCAAGAACTTTGGGGTATTGCACATCCCGGATTGTTGGTCCTTGAATGGAGTGTGTTATCAATCTTATGAGTAATTTTAGAGTCGTTTCCCAGTGAGATATGTTAGATGGCAATGTCTAGCGGTATTGCATTATTTTTGAGCCTCTGTCGACTTTTAACAGACAGTAAGCGAGTACCTGCACACCATGACCAAGTCTGTTGTCAAACTGCTCTAATAGCCAAAAGGGTAGAATTAGTGAACAATGTGAAAGGGCGTTGGACGATTTACAAATAGGTGTTCAACAGTATGTAAGAGGTTCGTTCGTGATTATCAGTGTTGTCCGCCCCACTTCAGGCAGAAACAGTTGTTTGGCATATTAATTTTAGGGTTTTTATTGGCTGCGGGAACAGTTGGGTTGCCTCTTGCAGGAAATAGTAGCGGCAATTGGACATTCCCAAGATATTTGATGTTAGTCTCTGGGTGCTTGTGTAGCTACTTGATATTTGTTTGCGACAGGCTGCAGCCCAACAGAATAAGCGATTCCGTCAGACGTCACGAATTTTACCAACTTGTTTACCGAGTTACTTGTGGTGCAAAAGAGCTGAGCACATCTTTTTCAAGACAAATTCAATTTCCAATTTCAATCAACGTATGATGGGTTGAACGCATAAAATTTGTTCTACATTTATGAGTCTAAAATGCATTCGAACAAATTTGAATAAGTGCATTAAGACGATCTGCTAGTTCGATTGGCACATGCTAAAAAACCCACTCGGATTTGGTTTTAAGTTTATTATACTGTTTCGCAGATAAAAAGACGTTAAATAAGTTATGAAAATGGCCTGTTGGAATAGTACTTACGTCTGTTTTGTATTTTTTTAGGTTGTAACTTATATGTAGCCAAGCTAATAAATTAAATGGAGATTGGATAAGCACCTATGGTTAGAATAGTTCACCAGAAATATATTATAAAACACTGCATCTTGACGATAATTGGTCAGCGGGATTTTCCACAGGTCAGAAGTGTGAGCTAGATCTGAAGGCATTCAGGTATTTAGACCACAATAGTGGAAAAGTATATTCACTTGGTCCATTATCATAAGTGGTTTTTACAGGTATATCAGGAAGATGAGCATATCAAATTCAAAAAGCAGGGTAAATCCAACAAAAAATATAGCCATACATATTGCAAAATTTTACGACTTAAAGAAACTGAAACAAGTCATTGTTAATTGTCAGCAAAAACAGTAACATTTAAAACAATCATTTCGGATCAAAAGGTAAGTGAGTTTGCTTAAGTCAGCATAAAATTGCTAAGTAAATTGTTTTTAAAAAGTAAATGCAAGAATTGTTGGAAGAATTATTAAGTGTTTTAAATGCAACGATTAATTGCGCTTAAACAAACAAAAAAAAATAACGAAAAGTTAACAAAATTGTTTTTAAAAATTATTTAAACTAACAAAAAAGAATTCACGGTAAGATATAATAAAATCATTTATCAGTATATTCTGAGCAAAATGGATCCACTATCCAAAAATTATTCGAACAGTAACAAATAAAGAAGAAAGAAAAATTGGACAAGCAGAGAGTTGTAGGAAAAAAAAGAAACGTCTACTGCCTGACGCCACAGAACAAGCGTGAAAATATTTGCAAATTGTGATAATATCAGAGTTAAAGCGGTTCTGC